TTTTCGACGCCAACAATGATCTGAATAATGATAGGAAAAGTTGCCACAAATATAGCGTAATAACAATACAGTCATTAGCCGATGATAACAGTGCCGGAGCTAACTGTAAGTCCCTTTCCCTGACTGTCGCCTGAAGTTTGATTGAAACGCTTTTCATCTGATATTTGCTTTGAAAGTCTTGAGAATAGGATTTTTTATTGCTTTTCAATTGAAATCATTTGGTTTTTTGTCGTCAATTCTTGCCATTAGTTTATGTGATATCTATTTTTAAATAGTTTTTTGATTACAAATTGATTGAAAACTCATCGAAACCCGTATTAAACAATTTAAATCACTTTTTAAACTGATATTTTGCTAATTAAAAGTCTTTTCCAGTTTTATGTACAGACAGTAGAATAGTGTTAAAACTGCAACTTTTTTTTGACATTTATTTTACTGTATTCTTTGTGTTACGCTTTTATTATGCAAAACATTTTTAATCAAAATCTCTTGTGGTTTAAGCCTTTAATGAAAGCGCTTTTTAGGGATTTTTTTATTTGATTTGAAGTGAAATTTGAATTAATTTTTGTCTGCTTTTGTGTTTTTTTTGCATGAATACAGTCTACTCTCGCTATAATTATAATTCTTGATTGTTATGCACTAATCCTAAACAGTAACAAAACATTAATCAAAACTTGCATCAAAATCAATAACTAATATGCAATACCATTACCATAACTTTCCTAAAGGAGAAGTCACGGTTTCGGTAACGGCCGGTTCTGCAATGGCGGCCTCGTCTTGTTCATGTGTCTTCACGTTAAGCCGTTTTCTGTAAGTGTAGCCCACGGAAGGATACCGGTGACCTGCCATGTGTTTGTCCAATCGGATCCATCGCTCGTCAAATTCAATCTGAGTCTACCGGCGGGCGCGAGTCATCCGCAGATGCCGAGGGCTCTGAGCAACGGGTGCGTATGGTTTATGCTGAAGTACCTCTAACAGCCGGCTCGGTAACCGGTTAGTAGCGACCGCGGCTCTGTTGGTGCTCGACGGCCACGGCCCAGTGGTTTGCCGGGAGATAAGGTCCAGTCGCGCGAGTTTACCCGCTTTCTGGACAGAGGCAACTGGTTTTTGGCCATCTATAACGACGCGCCGCAGACTATCGATATATCCATGGCTTACACGATAGCCGACGAGTCCAACATTCCCTGTCCTTTCGACTGTCACGGACACGGCGTCTGTGCCAACGGTGTCTGTAAGTGCGATGACGACTACGCCGGTGATAATTGCGCCTACAGTAAGTGGTTTACCATGTTTTTTACCATAAGTCTATTTTGTTTGGTTACTTATTTGGTGATTATTAATGTGGTTTTTGTTTGCAATTTGTATTAGGGGTTTGTCCTGTGCTGTGCTCAGGCCGTGGCCAGTATGCGAACGGTGAGTGTCAGTGCAGCTCCGGCTGGAAGGGCAAAGAGTGTCAGCTCCGGGAGGACGAGTGCGAAGTGGGCGACTGTAACGGACACGGAGACTGTGTTGACGGCAATTGTCACTGTTTTCCCGGCTATAAAGGCAAACACTGCGAAGACGGTACGTGTGGGCCCACCCTATAGGAGACACAACTGTCCTCTTTATATATGATATGTCCTGTTATTAATAAAAATGTTTTGTTTGTTGGTATAGTGGACTGTCTGGACCCGGACTGCTCAGCACACGGCCACTGTGTGGCCGGTCTGTGTCTGTGCGGCAAAGGCTGGAAGGGCGCCGACTGCGCCGAACCGGACTCCGAGGCCATCCGGTGTTTGCCCGACTGCACCGGTCACGGGAACTTTGATCTACAGCTCCAGCAGTGTATTTGCGACGAGCGATATACCGGACCCGACTGTTCACAAGGTTTGTCCACATTTACATGTGTGCTGTCTATGAGTTGATCCTAATTTCTAACTCGCTGTCCATTGTGTTACAGAGCGATGCGATCTGGACTGCGGTAATAACGGTCACTGTCAGAGCGGTGAGTGTCTGTGCGACGAGGGCTGGACGGGTGCCAAATGCGCGGAACGGCTGTGCGACCCACGATGTCTCGAGCATGGTCAGTGCAAAAATGGCACCTGTCTGTGCATACAGGGCTGGAATGGCAAACACTGTACTCTAGGTATGTGTTGTTACCTTGTTTTTAGTGGTGATTTGATTGTGCATGTTTAATTAATTAATTTTTTGCCTGTTATAAACATCTAGATGGTTGTCCCAAGTCGTGCAACAATCACGGCGACTGTACCCAGAAGTCGGGCGACTGGCAGTGCAATTGTGGCCAGGATTGGGGCGGACAGGACTGCAGTGTCCCACTCGAGAATGTCTGCGACGACGGCAAGGATAATGATAACGGTATGTATGGCCACAACCGCTGACCCCCTTATAGTTGGTTACACAATATGTAATATTAATCATATTTCATATAAATTTTTTTTATCTAGATGGTCTGATCGACTGCGCCGACCCGGAGTGTTGTTCGAGCAAAAAGTGCGAGGGCAAACAACTTTGTTTCTCGGCCTCCGACCCGCAGGACATACTGTTGCGGAAACAGCCGCCGGCGGTCACCGCCTCCTTCTTCCAGAGGATGCAGTTTCTCATCGAAGAGGAATCCGTTCAGAGTTACGCCCATAAGAGCGCATTCAATGACAGGTATGTATTTTCTACCATAAGATTATCATATTTTGTCGCATATTCTTCGGGAGCTATTTATCTAACATCTGATCCCCTGTCCCCTCACATATTAGACACTAATTTATTAATACAAAAAAAAACATTTGTATTTTGATTAACAAAACTTGTTGTCTAACTCTGATCTCTTTCACCACTAATTACTCTAACAATACTCTTCTGAAGTCTATTCTGGAACCGATTCAACGACAGGTCAGTTGACTATTGGTGTCGGTGTTTATCTCTATCCCCTCTTAAGACTAATCCCTGTTTATGTCGATGTGTTTAACTGTTTGAATGCCAATTGTGTTTGTGATTGATATGCATTGAATTGACTTTAAATATTGTTATAATTAATTAACAACTTTTAAAACATAACATTAATCTTAACCATAACTATCCACAACAGCCGGGCGTCAGTCATCAGAGGCCAAGTGGTGAATCACGGCGGACAGGGTATCACCGGAGTGCGCGTGGGAGTGGCCACGGATCCGATGCTGGGCTTCACCCTTACCCGCGACACGGGTTGGTTTGATCTCATGGTCAACGGTGGCGGCGCCGTCACACTGCACCTGCAACGCGACCCCTTTCGACCCGCCCAACGCGTGGTAATGGTTCCCTGGAATGAGATAGTTGTCTTGGATCGGGTCCAGTTGACCATCGATGACAGGGGCAGCGGTGCTGATGGTGGGAAAGCGGCCATTTGTATGGATCACGACTACGATGTCAACGCGTGGTAATGGTTCCCTGGAATGAGATAGTTGTCTTGGATCGGGTCCAGTTGACCATCGATGACAGGGGCAGCGGTGCTGATGGTGGGAAAGCGGCCATTTGTATGGATCACGACTACGATGCGATGAAGCCGGTGGTGTTGGCCACTTGGAAACACACTTTCCAGGGCGGCTGCGCCTCCCAGAGCGCACTCCTGGCCGAGTCGCGTGTCGTCCAGGAGTCGCTTCGTATTCCCGGAACCGATTTGAATCTTGTGTACCATTCCTCGCGAGTGAACGGCTATTTGTCCACAATTGAGCTCCAACTGACACCCGATAAGATACCCCAAGCGCTCCGTTTGGTGCACCTGAAGATCGCCATCGAGGGTATACTCTTCGAGAAGACCTTCGAAGCGGATCCCACCATAATGTTTACCTACGCGTGGAATCGGCGCAATATCTACCGCCAAAAAGTCTTCGGTTTGGCCACCGCTATGGTTCACGTGGGCTATCAGTACACCGGTTGCGCTGCGACCGTATGGGACGTCCAGACGGTTCAGTTGGCCGGACACGATATGGCCATCTCGGAGATTGGCGGCTGGAATCTGGACATTCATCACCGGTACAACTTTCACGAGGGTATCCTCCAGAAGGGCGACGGAACCAATGTCTACCTGAAGCAAAAGTCCAAAGTGATGTTGACCACGATGGGTGATGGCCAACAGCGCCCCCTTCACTGTCCCTATTGTAATGGTGTGGCCCGCGATCAGCGCCTGTTGGCACCCGTGGCACTCGCCTCCGCACCCGATGGCAGCGTATATGTCGGTGACTTTAATCTGGTCCGACGTATTAAGACCGACGGATCCGTTCAAACGGTGGTCGAGTTGAGCGAGTCCTCCGTGGCCTATAAGTATCACTTGGCTGTCGGTCCCATCGACGGTAAGCTCTACTTCTCGGACCCGGAAAAGCATCAGATCCTGCGGGCGATCAGTTTGGATCAGATACCCGATCCGCGCAATAATCTGGAGATAGTGGTGGGCACTGGTGTCAAGTGTTTGCCCGGCGATCGCTCGGCCTGTGGTGATGGCCGACTGGCCAGAGACGCCCGCCTGTCGTACCCCAAAGGTCTGGCCATATCATCCGCCGGTGAGATCTTTGTGTCCGACGGCACAAACATCCGATACGTGGACGCGTCCGGTGTTATCCATACACTGATCGGCGACCACTACCACAAGAGTCACTGGAAACCGCTTCCCTGTTCCGGATCGATACCCCTCCAGAAGGTGGCCCTCCGGTGGCCGACCCAACTGTCCATTTCGCCCATCGATAACTCGCTGCATATACTCGACGATCATATGGTCCTGAAGTTGACACAAGACCGGCGGCTGCGAGTGATCGCCGGCCGGCCCTCCCATTGCTCGTCAGTCATCACCGGAACGCCCGAAGAAGTGCCAAACGCCGAGACCGGCGAGGCTTTAGCTTCGTATGTGTTATCTTGTCTTATGTCTTGTGATTATCACTGAATTTTAATCTGATCTCTGGTTTTGTTTTATGTGTTTACAGACAAGTATTCCTCGAAACGCCCCAATCGATAGCCTTCGGACCGAATGGCGACCTCTATATCGCCGAAAGCGACTCCCAGACCGTGAATCGGGTCCGTGTGGTGACCGCCAACGATAACAAGATCCGTAGGTTCGCCGGCGCCGACCTGAAGTGCTCGTGTATGGACGTACAGTGCGAGTGCTATTCGCCGGACCTGTTGGCCATCAACGCCAAACTGTCCACCGTATCGGCCATAACAGTCACACCCGACGGTCGACTACACGTCTGCGACCAGGAAAACCTCCGCATACGGACAGTGGTGTCGCCACTGCCCGACCAAAACCCCACGAACGGCGAGTACGAGATTGTGAGCCCCCTCTCCACCGAGATCTACCTCTTCAACCGACACGGCCAACACGTGTCCACCCGATCGGTAATGACCGGCCATACGGTGTATACGTTTAGCTATAATGTCAATACACTGAACGGGAAGCTGTCATCCGTGACGGACTCGGCCGGCAATAAGCTGTATATACTTCGGGATTATAGCAATCAAGTGAAGAGCATCGAGAACAGCCAGGGTGGAAAGTGTAGATTACAAATGTCCCGGTTGGGTATGCTCAGCACGTTCACCACGCCCGACAACTTTGTGACCAAGTTGACTTATTATGGTAACACTGACGCCCTGTTGGCCACCCGTACCGACTCGTGGACCCGTTCGGTGGCCTATCAGTACGACCAATACGGCCGACTCGTGCGGGCAGTGCTGCCCGACGGCGATATCATCGAAATGCAGTATAAGCTGAACACCGACGGCGCCCGAGTGGCCATCGATCGCAATGGGAAAGAGTTGATGAAACTGGCGATTGTGGGCCAAGAGGTGAGCAGTGTCTCCACCACTGGCGATGAGGATCAGCCACTCGTGTTGACGAAGATTGCGGCCAAAGACTCAAAGTTTACCATCAAGTCGGCCGACACCAGTGTCACAGAGATTGAGTCCCAGGTGTCGCCTGTGATCAGCGATATGTGGCCCAAAATGGCCGAGACTTGGCCTCTGCCCACACGTATGCGAGTCATAGCCAACGACGAGATGAGCACAAGACTCGAGTGGAAACACTACGTCCGCCGCAGCGCCGGCTCTAAAGGCCAGTCGACTGATGCTAAGCGCATACAAACTGTTGGCCGCAAACTCAAAGTGAACGGCGAGCCGGTGCTGGCCGTGGAGTACGATCGCGACGCCCAACAGGAGCTACTTCTGGACCAAACCATGAAACCCATTGTCACCGTTAGCTACGACCCGGTGGGTCGACCCCTGCGGTGGACCTCCGGTCACAATCAGACACCCGTAGCCCTCGAGTACGACCGCTTCGGGCGTCTGTCCAGTTGGACGCGCGGCCAGTTGTCGCACACCATGACCTACGATATCAGCGGCCGATTGGCTGAGCGCAGGTACGCCGACAAAGCCGGCCGTCTCTACAAGTACTCGGACTCCAGCACCAGTCCGGCCGAGATTGTCGAGCCCAGCGGCGCCCGCTATCTGATCCAATACGACCAAAGCGGTGGCGTAACCGCTGTGATCACACCCGCCGGCCATCGGCACGAGATCGCCCGCCAGACATCCCTGGGTTTCTACAAACTCCTATACCTGAGCCCCGGTATGAAAGCGCCCTATATTTTGCATTACGACGACTCCCAGCGTGTGATCGCCCGACTCCTGCCCGAAAACAGTGGCCGCACTGTCAACGTCTACAACGGGAACGGACTGTTGGACACCCAGTTTGCCGGCACCGAGAAGACAGAGTACGCCTATCACGAGGGCTCGGATCTGCTGAAGTCAGCGAACAGACAGTTCACTGACGGCCAGGATTTTAAGGTTGACTACAGATATCACGGCTCGCTGTTGAAGGAGGAGCGGCACCGGTTCGGCGCCCGATCGCCGTTCAACAGCTATAAGTTGCGCTATAAGTACGGCCCGCAGGCGAGGGTACAGGAAGTGGAGTTTGAACTGCAGGGCCGCGGCGTTGAGACCCGCAAATACAAGCGAAACCCAGCTACCGGTGCTCTGGAGGGTGTGGACGGGTTCGCTGTGGTCAGGCGTAACGTAAACTCACTACAGGTCACGGATGAGCGCTCGATGAAGACTGTGGGCACCGATAGCTACGGTCGACCGGTGCTGATCACGCTTTCCGTCTGGAATAAGGAGCTCTTCTCGCAAGTGATTCATTACCAGCCCCTGAGGTCGAGGATCTCGGAGTCCCGGATGCGGTTCGGCAACAATTATCTGCTCACAAACTATAGCTATACCGCCGATGGCTTTGTAGAGCAAGTGAGCAGCTCTTCGGCGCCGGTGTCTAAGTATGTCTACGATATCGGCGGCGATGTTAAGAGTGTTTGGGAAGGAGACACTCACATCACCATCAGGTATGTGTCAATCACCATATGGTGCTCT